GTCAGGGGACCGAGTTACAGGTCGAAACCGTTCATGCGCGGGAGAGCCAAACCCCAACCAGTACAGTCTAACTCCAGAGTCCCAAACCGTACGATTGGAAAGCCTCCCTGCTGAATGATGTAGCAAAACGAGGTCAGGTACCGGAACGGAAAGAAAAGTGACAAAATCCCGCCAGTACAAGCCAACCTTCGGCAGGCCTATCCCGAATTCTCACGAAAGGAAAAACCACCCTTCCATACAGCGGCCAAAAAAAGGAAAAAAACAAAGGAGGCTTACCGAAGTCGGGCCAGCACACCACCCGAAATGCTGGCCATTGAACTTGATGATTTGGGAAAAAAAGAAAAAAAAGAAAAAAAAAAAAAAAAAAGAAATTGATGATTGACATACTTCTATTGCGTACTTCTCTTTGACGTGTGTGCATGACATGATGATGTCACACTGACGCGACGATGATACCGTGTATCTGCATGCTCAAGACCATTCAATTCTTTATAAAAAAAAAAAAAAAAAGGCCCGGTGCCCAAGGCCAAAAATACAGTGTCCACAAATCGTGACAAATGTCAAGTTCAGGGGCCACGAGGTCTCCAGCTGTAGTCAGCAAGCGGAGCCCGTCCCCTGTGAAAAAGAGGATCTAAGAACAAACTATAAAAGAAGACCAAAACAAAAAAAAAACAATAAAAAAAGAGCCTCAAGCCCATTGAATTCCTGCTTTTCGACTTCCATCGACTCCCGATTATCGAATATCGTCGGGGTTTATGATTTCATCATTTTTTTAACCCCGAAATGAAGTTGAATTTGGAATCTGTTCGGATCGATTGTATCATTTCGATCATTTGAAATTTGTAATTACTGAATCATGTGGAATGACTCTTAACGTGTTTGGCTTTATCACGACTTCGTTCTTTGTTCGTTCCTCAATGTCGAAAATCTGTTCTGTTTGATTCTTTTGTGGAAATTTTACATCTGATTTGTTTTGTGATTGGTTGTCCTTCATCAATTGACTGGAAAAATAAAATCAAATGGATTTCTGTGGATCGTTCTGCATGCACATCCGGCTCGCATTTATGATGGCTGCGTGCAGCCAAACTCCATTTCAAGAAAGGAGCCGAGGAATTGATAAAAGCGCTAGTCAGCAGGCGGTTTGCAATCGTCACCAGGTCGAGCATGCTGGAAGTCCAACTCATATGCGAGCGGCTCCCAGCACTTTCCGCCCTTCCTACGGAGAGATGGTAGGTCTCTCTCTCTCTCTCTCTCTCTCTCTCTCTCTCTCTCTTTTTCTCTCATTGTGTGTGTGTGTGTGTGTGTGTGTGTGTGTGTGTGTGTGTGTGTGTGTGTTCACAGTGTGTGTGTGTGTGTGTGTGTGTTCACAGTGTGTGTGCGTGTGTGTGTGCGTGCATGTGTGGGTGGGTGCGTGTGTGTGTGTGTGTTATGGAAGTTTGGAAATCTTCTCGAGGGGTTTCTACTATCAACTGCACCTCCTGTTCACTGACGAAGATGGTAGTATCATGGTATACCTCCTCTCTCTCTCTCTCTCTCTCTCTCTCTCTCTCTCTCTCTCTCTCTCTCTCTCTCTCTCT